GACACAGAGTGAGACAGAGCGAGGACATCAAACTCATATAAGTTCATGGTCATGAAGACCAATGCTGATCTCAAGTGGGCTGGAAGTTCTTCATTGTAATTTTCTTACTCTGAATCCTTGCGGAAAAAGTGTGGTCACATGTCCGGCATGTCCTTCATTGAGACAGATTTTTTGTTTTTCTATTTTCTATGTATCTCTATCTTTTATGTCTTTACTTAATAATCTTGCTCCAAGACATAAAATAAGAGCCTTCAAACTTAATCTTTTATTAAGATATAACAAATTGTGTTTGTTGCCTGATGAGCATTAACCTTAATTATATCTGATATGTGGGAGAAGTCATTAGAAGCAGACACAGCACTGAGTAATCCCTGTTTTTCTGTTGCAGCTAACGCAGTGAAATCACCTGCCCTCTGCTCGTTTCACTTCTTTGACAAATGGATCCCAAAGGTGCACACTTGAAGTTGCTTTGTAAACTACAAGTGTTGGTGGATCAGCAGGTAGCTGATCAGCTGCATTGTCTCTCTCTCACTCGCCGGGGCGGAAATTATTGCGGGTCAATGCCCTCGGCCCACTCACCCGTGAAGTGGAAACACCTGATTCTCACTGATGCTACCAGCATTTAAGCAGAGGGATGGCAGCCATTCATCGCTGGATTGTTGCGTGAATCACGTTAGCGTATCTCCGCTCTCGTAGTATTAGTCTCCGAAGGCTATACCTGTGCCTTCGTTCTAACGTGTTCACTCTGTGTTTGGATCCCGTGGACCCGTCCCTGATTTCCTGGTGAAGATCCCTAGTCATGGACAGTGTTGGGGAGTAACAGAATACATGTACCGTCGTTACGTATTTAAAATACAAAATGTGAGTAACTGTATTCAGTTACCGTTTAAAAGGGTGGTATTCAGAATACAGTTACTTTGTTGAAATAAAGGGATTACATGGTGGTCTTTTCCTGTTTCATATGTTCAGCTATGCCCTCTCTATTTTTGGTAATTCCACGCCGGTGGAAACCCAAACAAAACGCGTATTAAGAGGTTCAAATGCCTGTCTCAATCTCCCGTCTCATAATGACGTGAAGAAATGTTTTTTTATGAAGGCAATAGGCAGAGTGTTGCAGGCATCGCCCTAAAGAATGTAGCCTCATGGGCAGTGTAGTCCGTGCTGCAGGGAGAATGGACTGCCATACCCGTTATGTGTCTGTGAGCGAGGGAGGGAGAAAAAGGAAAAGTACGAGCTGTCACCGAGCAGCAACGGGAGATGGGTTGCCGGGCCTCTGATTGCAAAATGCCGCCTTAAAGCATTTATGAAACTGTCTGTGCTCATTGATTCGATCAACTAGATATGGACTGCTCTTGTCGACAGACATGAGAACATCACGGCCCACCTTTTAGAGCTAGCTTTTCCTCTTCTCGTGCGCCGGGTTATAATGTCCCATGGCCCGAACACGTCTACACCCACATATGTGAAGGGGGGTGCAAGTTGCATTCGTTCAGATGGTAAGTTTCCCATTTGCTGACATTCTGCTTTTCTCAATTTCTTGCATGTGACACACTTAAAAAGCACTGTGCTGATAGCCCTTTTGGCCCCTACCATCCAGAACCCTGCAGCTCTAATTGCACCTTCTGTGAAATGTCTTCCTTGGTGTTTCAGTGTCGTGATAGTGCCGTATTAAGAGCGTTCCCAAGTGGTGTCGGGCAGGGATGATGAGAGGGTGAGTGGTGTCGATGCCCAGTTCAGATTGTATGATTCGGCCCCCAACTCTTAAGAGTCCATTACCATCTAGAATAGGATGCAGTTTCCAGAGACTGCTTGAGGGGGAAATCTTGATTCCTTCCTGAATACACTTTATTTCCTCTTTGTAGCACTCACTCTGAACTAGGGATGGGTACGGTTGTAACCAGACCGAAAAGCAGCGCACATTTCGGTGCTTTCTTTTTCCTGAGATGTCATACACTTTGAATTCTAGCCAATCATTTTACGTTTCCGAGGATAGTAGGCGGGTCCAGGTACGTACATTCTTTTAGAGCAGAGCTACAGATTAAAAATGCCCAAGGCAAAGCGGTTGAAGTCTGGCTGTACTTCACAGCAAAAGATGCAAACTCAGCAGCCTGCAACAAGTGCTTTAAGGTGATACTGTGATACTGTCAAAGGAAGTAACACCTCAAATCCGATGAAACGCCTGGCGACGCATAGCGGTTTTTTTTTTGTTTGTTTGTTTTTTTTAAAGCCGAGAAATGCACCCTATTTGATAGCTTGCTGCGAGACCTCACACCGAGCGCATCTACTGCGGGTGTGGTGCCTGTTATCAGACCTGGAGTTAGCAACATCCCCCAAAAACCCGAAGAGGTGGTGTTTCTCAGCTGGTGGCGAAATGCCAAAGAAGCGACTTAATGTCTGTTGTTTTTTGGACATTTAGATGGTGACAAGCAACATGTGTAAGGTTAAATGACATGGTCAAGAACGCAAAGGTGCTTGGTAACACAAGTGTCACTATGCGTTTCTAATTTTTGTCATGCATGCGTAACTGCGTACCAGTTTTGTGCACCCCTGATTATACTAGTATTTAAATACGAAAGAAATTTGCTCTGATTCAATGGCATCTTTTGACTCATCTACAATGACTGAACCTGTGCACTCTCTTTAGCTGCTTTAACTTCTCCTCAGCAACCATTTCAGCCAAACATGACAGAATTTGGGTTGTTTTGCTGGTGTACAAAATATTTTTGCTTGTTGTTCCAGTCTCCTCCTAATCACAGGGTCATGATTGCTTATCATGTTTGGCATTTCTAGGAAAATTCCCCTTTTATTTGAGTCAGCACACTGTGACCACTCTGAGCTATGTTTTTAGTAGCAGTGAAGATTAGAATTTCTGCTTTTGTCTTACTGTATGTTTTGTTTTCAAGCACCTGTTTCTGGCGATGGCAAGCGCCATACATTACAGTCATCAGAACCCACTGACTTTAAACATTGCTTTCTCCCAATGACGATATCCCACAGCTGAAGTAAATACACAGTAACAAGAGTCTCTACTCTGGGAACATTCCAACCAAGGGTGTATTTTGTACCATTCTGGGAGCACCCTGCTTGATATGTCTTAGGAAACCTCAGGGTGTGGGGCCTTCACTTTTGAATTTGCATATGTCTAAATTCACACACAAAAATGAAAAATATACCAAATCCAAAACTCTACACAATAATCGACTTGGAGGAGTGAAAGAGAAATTCAAAACAAAGGAGACATGACATTTTTAACAACGTTAGCATTATAAATCTTCTATTGCAGTTCCCTGGTTAAAGGTCAGCATTGTTGTGGTCTGTTGTAATACAAACAAACAAAAGTACCCAGCATGAACATTGAATGTGTTTACATTTAATCAAAGCCACAGTCTTTCTCTAACTTTAAATAGAGTGCTTGTAGTTGCTTAAAACTATGAGGTGGGATCAGTTATAACTGTGCCTCCAATGCAGCTTGAAATGTTTCTGCAGCTAGCATTCAGACAAATGTGCAACATGTAAACATAACACATCCATAATCAGAGATGGGCAGTAACGTGTTACTTTCAAGTAACGAGTAAAGTAAGGGATTACTATTGCAAAAACGGTAATTAGATTACCGTTACTTTCCCGTAGGAACGCTGCGTTACTGCGTTACTAAAACCGTGATTTTTTGCGAGAATGTCTCACGACAGTGACGTAAGCGAGTGCGCCGTTAGTGACAACAGCTGTGTGCAGATCAACAATGGATCACATATCGATTGTGGGAGAGAGTATGAGCGTGCAGCGTTTAAAGCGTGGAAGTACTGACCTTACTTTGAGTTTGATTCCATAAAAAGTGACAAAAACATTAGCGTCCATCGTGCGTGGGAAGAAAACTTCTTTTTACAGCGAAAAAACCCCTAAACTTCCAAGCAAGCACCGAGTGCGCAACGACGTAATGGGAAACTCACAGAGAAACTCGCGGATTCTTCAACTGACCGCGGCACACCTGCACCAGGGTAAACCTCCGCCTACCCAGTCCTGCTTTACAGGTGAAAATAGAGCAAAAGGACCGCTAGTCTTTGACTTTATTTATTTTCTGCTGTGTTTTACTTGCATCTATTTGAAAGAGTGAGTGTAAACACAAAAAATATTTTATTTTATGTGCTGGAATGTGCAGAAAATAGGTTTAAATGTTAAACTAATTTCTTCAAGTCAGAGAATGTTGCATATAATTAATTTTTGCTTGATGCATAAAGTTAAAAGATTAAAACTAATAAAACAAGTTTAAAAAGAGACTTTTCCATTTGATTACATTTTGTATGATGGATTATGCAGAAAAAGTAGAATTGGGCTGAAAGATCTATCGCTTTATCACCTATTCAGGTTGTAAATCGTGTTTTTAAAAAGTAACTAAGTAACTAAGTAATTAATTACTTTTGAAAATAAGTAATCAGTAAAGTAACGGGATTACTTTTTTGGGGAAGTAATCAGTAATTAGTTACTGATTACTTTTTTCAAGTAACTTGACCAACACTGTCCATAATACATATATTCTTTGCAGAAAATGATTTGTGTAACCTGAACTGATATACATCAGGCATGAGCAGATGTCTTACGTGTTGTCTCGTGAATCTGCTGCAGCCTTCACTACAGCCTGAATGAAGGACAGTTGTGCAGAAATTGGTGATTAAGGAGTACTGAGGAAAATTATGAAATGACAGAAGAGGTTTAATGGGAAACAAAGAATGAATGAACCATGAAAAGATCCCTGTTAATTGAATTTACCATCCAATTATAGCTTAATATTTGCAGCTTGACCTACTACTCTGAGTTGAGATACAAGTATGCATGCAGTGCATGCATCGTACGGACTTTGTAGAAGATGAAGTGGTTTGTTTGAGCTTGTTTTATCAGATAATCAGAGTGATATTGAGTCTTTGAAACTTCCTGTTGTCTCATGTTGCAAGAAACCCCAATCTATTAACCACCTTCAGGGTTGTTGATCATTTTCCACTTTCCTTAGAACTGCACTGAATATGCAGATGAGAAAGCGACTTAAAGCTCAGGAGGCCACTTCAGACATCTTCTGAAACATCACTATCATCAGGTCTACAGTGCAGTCAACATGAAGACTCTCAGCCTGACGGCGGGACTGCTGCTTATGGTGTTTGCAGTTTACCCCAGCGATGCCTGTAAGTCTGTGTTAGATTTTTCCCAGGTATACTTGTTTTCACACACAAAATATGAGTAATTCTTGCCATGAGAAATTATATGATGGTTATTTTGTCATCTATCTGTGCGATTTTTGCATAAATATTTAGTTCTTTTTTTTTTTAATTAAAAAAGCGGATAAAATTTTCCAGCGTCTTACCGTGCCTTAAAAAATTATCATAGTACATTTATTTATGTATTTACAAATAATGCTTTTTAAAGCTAGTTAACTAGCTCAATTGGACCAATAGGATGAACAAGACTTTCTAAAATTGTTTTTGCAGTGATGACGCACGAACCCAGTGTTGCTAACTTAGTGACTTCGTCACTATATTTAGCGAGTTTTATAATTAGAATTAAACTTTATTGTCATTTCACATACCACAAGTACAAGGCAACGAAATGCAGTTTGCATCCATCCAGAAAGTTCTTTAGCAATAATATAGATATTACACAATATGGATCTATTATAGGTATGTTACAATGTACATGGTATGAAGGTATGTTATGAATATACTATAAGTGTAAGTATGTTCAGGCTATAGCTCTAGTGAGTGAACAAGCTATGCACAGGCTATATAACAGGTTATACATATGGTTAAAAATGTGAAAACTATATAGATTGTAGATATACAATTGAGTATTAATAAACAGTTGTAAAACTATAATTATTATATTGTACAGTATGATTGTCTATGCAGCATTTACAGTAGTGCAGTTGAGATCAGTGAGATATATGGATAATTTATACAGTAGTTATATAAAGGGCCATTGGTTGTGAGTAGTGGTTCAGTCCATGTTATTATTGTGTGTATGAGGGGTTTAGACCGCCTTAGTGACTTTTTTTCTAAAAAGCCACCAGCGACAAATCTGGCGACTTTTGCTGGTGATAGACCTCACGCAGCAGTCGCCCTCAGCTGCTGTCAGAGCAAGAGATGTTCACACCTACGCATCCAAACTGCAAATGAATCCCCCCTGACTGTTTTACTGTTACTTTTTGTGGATCACAAGGTTTAAAACTACCCGCTCATTAAAAAAAAAAAAAAAAAAACTCCTCCAGAGTGCCTATTTTGTGTCACTTTTCCCAGTCCCAAGCAAGATAAAGGGGGAGGGTTGGAATTGTGACAATAAAAAAAAACAATAAATGCTAAAAGAAATTTAACTTGTAGTTCTAAATATATTCTAAATGCATTTAGGGTGTTTTTTACTCACTTTATGTCTTGTCCACTATGTTATTTCTCTCTCCTACAGCGTGGTTACAATTACATAAGCATGACCAATTATGCAAATGAGGCCATGACGTCATTTAGCAATTTCTAGAGACTTTTAGGACAGCTAATAGCGAGTTTCCTTACTGAGGAGTTGGCAACACTGCATGAACCCTGCTTCTAGGTCCAAAATACTCTGTGTTTATTAAGGCTGTTGTGTTTTTAACATTTTTTTATCCTTTATATTTTGTTCTATTTAATCTGAACAAGGCCCTGAAAACAGTCAGTGATCACTGTCGGCCTCTCTTGGTTTTTATGACCACTATTCTTTTTAAAGCTCATTTTTTAAGACCACACAATGTAACTACAACCCAGCCCACGCAGCAGCATATTAATGACAAACCTTGTATTGTGGATGGAATATCTCTGTTGTTCTCCTGGCTAAAGTTTGGTCCATTTGAAGCATCCCGCCATGCAATTGCATTTGTCCCTAACCATCGGGAACCCTCACATTAACTTTCATCAGTGGAAAAAAAAGTTAGTGTTCATCCTCCAGCTTCACTGTGTTTGTCTTTATATTATGCTAACTGTAGCTGTGTAACTTCATTATATACCAGCCAACCTCAACTTCAGTAACCCTACAAACGTTCCTGCTGTTTAGTTTTCTGTCTTCATTTATGTCGGAAGTGACAGCAGAGCTGTATGTTTTAATTTATTCAGAAATCCCTCAGTCAGAACATAGTTTCCATCCAAATATAACATACTATCGAGCTAATTCCCTGTTAACTTTTAACTCCATTAAACTTTATAAATCCTGTTTTCATGGATGCCTGGATGTTAAACTTAATTGTTACGCCTGGTAAAGCAGCAACGCTGATGATTTTATTAAAGATGAAAGAATTTAGGCAGTTTGTAACTCTCAGTGGTGCCGCAGTGTTCGTTTGAAGGGGAGAGTTTGGACCCAGAAGCAGCTAATGAGCATGAACCTTATTTATAGCTGGTATGTTGGAGAAGTCATTAGAAGCAGACGCAGCACTGAGTAATCCCTGTTTTTCTGTTACAGCTAAGGCAGTGAATGCACCTGACCTTTGCTGTTTTCACTTCTTTGACAAACGGATCCCAAAGGCGAACATCGTGTCCATCGTGAAAACTCACAGACAATGCTCCACACCAGCATTTGTGTAAGTTTGTCTTTCACTGTCTCTTTGATTCGATCACTAATGTTTGCCATGAAGTAATGTATAAGCAATGTATGATCATCCACATTAAAGCCATAACTCTCCTATTAAGAGTAAAATGTGTAAATATGAGAGCAAAATAATGATACTGATTTTTCTGCAGGATCGAGACACCCAGAACGCTTTTCTGTGTGAAGCAGACTGTGAAGTGGGCAATGGAACAATTTGTTAAAGAAGAGAGAGCGAAAATTGAACCAATGCTACAATTAACACTTCAAAAATCACAAAATGCTTTCACTCCATGAAGTTACTTTGTAAACTGTTGCTGGAATTTTAACCCCTTTATTCTTTACCTGCTTAGTTACAGCTGCAGAATATAGAGAACATTTATTTTATGCTGATTTCAATTTTTTTTTTTTACATTATCACAATATCAACTTCATAATTTGGGAATTATGTTAATCCAGTATGTAAAACTCAGTTGATAAAGTGTCTTCCCTCATTAATATCCCATAATCATCTGAAGGTGGTCTTACTGTAAGATGGGAGCATTGAAGAACCACATGAAGTGCCAGACGACATAAAGTTAGATGGCAGGGTTAGTGAGTGCAAAGACAGAGTGCTGAAAAAGTCTCCAATGTTTTGGTGACTAAGAAACTCCAGAGTTCCTCTTCTGGAACTAAAATTGTGATGTGGGTTTTCATGGCCTGTAGGTGTAATGTGTAGGTGACCCCATACGTTTGTCCATATAGTATTCCACACCGCCTACCTCCCCTTAAGCCATGTTGACCCAGGTTGATGTGACTGTGTCTCAAAGAGCCTCATTTGATGAGCAAAGTTTATGTTCAGCACTCTTAGGCTTTCTTTAAGCAGCTCTCCAAAGCTTTGAGGTGTGTTTGGCTTCAATATCCTGCTGCAGTGTGAATTCTTCTCCACAAAGATCTACATCACTGTTGGAGCACATCTCTGAAGAATGGATCACTGCTTGCCCTCAGTCAGGGTGCAGTTGACTCACATCAGGTGTTCAGCTCTGGGTGTGGAAACACCACCACACTTAAACTCTCACTGTCTGATCCACTGTGTTATCTCTCCCTCACCTTACAAAAGCCCTTGTTTTCCTGCCTCTAATCTCTGAGAGTGATTGTTAAAAACAATTTCAAATATTTTTGATTCCTCAGACTCTGAGATTATTTTCAGGTTCAGATGAAAGTTTTGCGCACGTTAAATGTATTCTCAGGCTTTTGGATCTAGCTACGTATAACATGTATCAAATCATGTGATCATTTGTCTTCACTGTGTTATTGTTATGCGGCTACAGTGTATCTAAAAAGATTGTATGCCTTTCTTTATTATTTTGCTTTATTCTTCATTAAAGTTTCATTTCACAAAGCTCAACGACTCCATCTGACAGTGAATGTAAAAGTGTTTTCATGCTGTGGCCTTTGTTTTGGAATTTATAAGTATGCTGGTTATGAAAATGTGTTAATAGAAGCAGTTGAAGGTGAATGTGCACAATGTGACATATTTATAAATTGTATATTTTCCATGTGGGAGACGGAGTGGTGAGAATGTTACTGCGGTTCTTTACAGTTCCCATAAAGAGGTGGGGCATTTTAAAGGAAAAGCATGTCATGATGTCAGTTACTTTGTAGACATTGACGATCCTCTGTGTCTACTAACACATTTGAACTTTTAACATTAATCTTTCAGTCAAACAGTCAGTGACCTTTCCATTTCTTGCAATTGAGGTAAAATGATCTGTAGTATCAAACATTTCTGTTGAAAAGCATTTAAAAATGATTTCCTTGTGATTGTATATGACCAAAACCAATCAAACTACATTTTGCACCATATCTGCTGTTCAACTCATATCTAATCATCCAATCGGCCAAAGGAGATTTAAGTGACTTTAAATGTGGTGTGGTTGTTGGTGTCAGTCGAGCTGGTCTGAATATTTCATAAATGGCTGATTTACTTGAATTTTCCCACACTTTAGGGTCTCCAGGGTTTACAGAGAATGGTCTGATAAAGAGGAAATATCCAGTGAGCAGCGTTTTTTTTGGGAGAAAATACTTTGTGAAGGCCAGAGGAAAATAGACTGATTTGAGCTGATAGAAATCAAATTCAAATAACCACTGCAAAACCACTTAATGTCACTCATGTCAGTTACAAAAATTAACATTAGACTGAAATTTGTTCTGACTCACCAAAATTAGACAATAGACGATTTGATAAATGTTGCTTTGTGTAATGTGTTTAGATTTTAGCTGCGACATTCAGATGGTAGGTTCAGGATTTGATGTAAACAACATCAAATCCTAGATCCATTCTCCCATGTATTAAAAACTCAGGTGTAGGTGTTGGTTGCCTGGATCTTGTTCTTTCTATTCAGCTGACTCCTCAGGACTTCTTAGGTACGGCTTTCTAAGTGGCCTCGTCTTAGTTCCCATTTGCCTGTGGGATTCCTAGGTATCTGTAGCTGTCCTCGATGTCTGTAATGTTACCGTCTGGTAGTACAATCACCTCACTTCTGACTACCTTCCCTCTCTTCATTACCCTCCGACTACACCTCTCCAGTCCGATTGACATTCTGATGTCGTTGCTCTGATCAGGGGTGCGGAACTCCAGGCCTCAAGGGCCGGTGTCCTGCAGCTTTTAACCTTGGGTCAACACACCTGAGTCAAATAATTAGGCCTTTGGAAACTTCAAGACATGTTAAGGAGGTAATTTAACCATTTAAATAATCTGTGTTGGATCAAGGACATGTCTAAAACCTGCAGGACACCGGCCCTTGAGGCCTGGAGTTCCCCGACCCCTGCTGTAGATTCTTGTGGTGGAATCAGTGAATCAATGTCTTGTTCCTGGCATACGGCATGATGTCATCCATGCAGAGGAGGAGGCTGATGATTGCTCCTTTCTGTAGTCGGTATCCATAGCCAGTCTTTTTAATGGTTGCACTGAGGGGGGTTCAAATCTATGCAGGACAGCAGTGTTCACAGGCCATCTCCTTGGTACATCCCACACTTTATGGTAAGTTGTGCCACTGGCTTGAAGTTGGCCTCTAGTGTTGTACACCACATCCAGTGTTGCGCACTGTACTGCCTTGGTGTGGCTGTTCTCACATTGTCCCACTGCCACTGATAGTATAGCTTGGATGGTTCAGTAGAGTTTAGTTGCCTTCTGTCTATCTGGTATAACTCTTCAAAGCAACTTGCCGAGGCCGTTAGTCTTTGCTCAACAATTTCTAAAACCATAAGATGGAAGACATGTAACCACAAAAAGATCCCTGTTAATTGAATTTATCATCAAATTATACTGTACTATTTACAGCCTGACCTATTAATCTGCGTTGTTTGAGACATGAGATAAAGATACTGCATGCATTGTAAGGACTTTGTAGAACACTCATTGGGTTTTTTCAGCTTGTTTTATCAGATAATCAGATTGATATTCTGAAACTTCCTGTTATCTCATGTTGCAGAAAAACCCAATCTATTAACCATCTGGGGCTGTTGATTGTTTTTCCACTTTTCTTAGAATTGGTTTCGATGTGCAGATGAGAACGTGACTTAAAGCGGGGTGTTCGGACTGATCACTTCAGACACCTTCTGAAACATCAGGATCATCAGGTCTACAGTGAAGTCAACATGAAGACTCTCAGCCTGACGGTGGGACTTCTGCTCGTGCTGTTCACTGTTTACCACAGTGATGCCTGTAAGTCTTCTAGCTTACTTTATTCTACCGTGATTTTCATGAATAAAACCAAAATGGAAAAATGGAAATGATCAAATGACTATACGCTCGAGAAAATACCAAGGGCTAACAAAGGAGCTTGAGAAGATGTGGAGGGTCCCAGTGATAATCGGAGATCTCTGTCCAGAAGAGCCTAGTCCTAGGAACAGCAAAGATACTGCACAGGACCCTTATGGTCCCAGGTGTTTGGTAGAAGACCCGAGCTTGAGGGGTAAAGATCGGCTTGAGAAACAAGTCTGGGCTTCTTTGCTTCGTCTTCCTGCAATCTGATTTGAGATTAGTGGCACAAAATAATGGCTTATAAATTAATGGGATATTATTATTATTATTATTATTATTATTATTATTATTATTATTATTATTATCACGTTCTCATTGTTAAAGAAAGCCTGAGCAAATAAAAGTATTTTTAAAAAGTCACTATTTCATGAATTTTATTAATTATATTTTACCCCAATACTTTTACTAAGAGTATTATTTGAGACTATCAGCGTTATTGGTTCTATTTCCAACTCAGAATGCTGTGCTACTTTCTGATGTAAACTCTTCTCAATTACTTTGTTAATAAGGTGATTGACTCCCCTTATGTAGATGGCCTCAGTGCCTTGGGTCATGTATTTCTTTTTCTCCAATTACAGCTATTGAGACAAAGTCATGTTCCATCCTATTTTAAACACAGTAACTCCTCTACGGAAGAAACAGAATCTTGATGCCAACTCTACTTGTAATCATCAGGCTGCAGATTACAGATTCTTGGCCGTTTTCAGTCTGGCTTTCAGAGGCAGCGCTTCACTGAGACGGCAATCCTGGAGGGTCTATAATGATCTTTTAATGGCTTCTGATGTGGGGAATAAGTCGGTGATCATTTTGCTTGATCTCAGTGCAGCCTTCGATATGAAGTTTTGGCTGGTGTATCTGGCTTTGCCTTAGACTGGTTTCTTCCTACTTATCTTTTAGGACCTTCTCTGTTAGAACAGACAGGTTCTCCTCTAACATTGCCTCCCTAACATGTGGGGTTCCACAGGGTTCAGTTTTGGGTCCATTATTATTTTCTTTCTAAGTTCTTCCTTTAGCTGGCATTAATCAATCTTTTAGTGACATTTCTTATCATTTCTATGCCGATGACATTTAGATAAATATGTCTTTTAAACCTCATCAGCTGGATAGGTTGTCCACCCTAGTCCACTGCTTAACTCAGGTTACTGATTGGCTATCTAGCAATTAACTTGTTTTAAACACAACAAGCCTGAGACCATGATCATAGCTCCTCCTGAACTATATGCTAAAATCAATCAGGTTCTTGCTTCTTTCTGTCCAACTGCTAAGTCAAATATTTGGAGTAATATTTGATTCTTCTCTGGGCCTTGACTCGCATGTAAAATCTTTGTTTTGTTCCTGTTTCTTTTATTTAATGAACATCTCTATCATATGGTCTTCTCAGCTGAACTAGAAAAAATTCTTCATGCATTTGTGTCATCACGTTTAGGTTATTGTAATGTCCTGTTTACCAGCTTGGACAAATCATCTCTTTCTCTCCTGAAGCTATACAAAATGCTGCGACCAGTCTTGTCACACATTCTAGCAAGCAAGCTCACATCACTCCTATTTTATATTCTTTACATTTGCTCCCAATATATTTTTTAATTCAATTTAAAATTCTTGTTTTAAGATACAGAGCAGTAAATGCCCAGACCCCAGATGATTTATCTCGGCTTAAAATACACTACT